TTACAGAACAAAATAGTTTCTCATTTAACAGTTAGTACACATGTTGCCCTATGACAAGGTTAACAACCTCACAACACACTATCCTTACTCAACCTTGGGTTCCCTATCACCAGCTTCCCTGTCCCCTTCTGCCCTCTGGCCCTTGTCCCTGGACTGCTGTACCTCATTAGACTCCTAGCTCTTCTTGATGGTAGGGGGTCTTCACCCCTCCGCCCCCGCTTGCTTCTCTCTCCTTTTATCTCTTGTAAGATAAGGTGTGACTCAAGTAAGGGCATGACTTGAATAAGGGTGGTAAGGGTGGTGATTTGAGTCACACCCTCTAGTAGGGCAGTGACTCAAGATACATCCAACCCTAATCCTGACTCATTAACATAATGGACAACTCATTCCCAAATGGGACCATAACCACAGGCATAGATGCTAGAATTTACAGCACATTACAAAATGGAGGATAATTGCATCAGATCACAAAATGGAGGATGAATATATCATTACACAAACTGCCAAATTACATCATTACATAACTGCCAAACCACTGAAAAGCATGGCCCGGCCAAGTTGACCCATAACCATCACAGGTTCATATACCTTATTTGCATAATCCCACCCAGTCATTGTGTGGCAGTCACAAAGACTATGGCTAGAAGGGCTATATTAAGTAATTCACTGCACTGCAGCCCGTTAAGCAACTTCCCAATCCTCCTTTCTTCCAGCCCCTGATAACCACTAATAAACTCTGGTCTCTATGCATTTGCCTTTTCTAGATATTTCATATGAGTGGGATCATACAATATTTGCCCTTTTGTGACTAACATTTCTCTCAGCATGAGGTTTTCAAGGTTCATCCATAGCCTATATCAGTGCTTCATTTCTCTTCATGGCTGAGTAGTATGCCATTATATGTACGGACACTAGGATGGTTTCTGTCTTTTGGCTATTATAAAAAAGTGCTACCATGAACATTGGTGGACAGGTTTCTGTTTGCGTTCCTGCCTTCACTTCTGGGTAGATACCTAGGATTGGGATTGCTGGGTCATATGGTAGTTGTATGATCAACTTTTTGAGGAACCGCTAAACTGTTTTCCACAGTGGCTGCACCATTGTACATTCCCACCAGCAATGCATGAGGGTTCCAGTTTCTCCACATCCTCGCCAATACTTCTTTGTTTTTCAGCGTCATTTCCTTTTAGTGTTTTTTTTTTCCAAAAAAATCGTAATCTTATTTTTTAATTATCTTCAGCCTTATAATCATGTAATTTACAAATTTGCGCTGATAATCTCTCTCTGCTACCTTCATCCTTCTAATGAGTGAGTAAAAGCACCATTACCAATTACACATATACAATAATTCAGCAGTTTTATGTGTCTTTAAATATCTGTTTAAAGACAATCCTGAATTACAACTTAGTCTTAGATAGTAAGGAATTTAAAAGCAAAGTTCAACCTGCTACTATATCTCATCAAGCTGACTTTTAAAAGCATCTGATCTGATAGATCATGTATAAAATGTGAGAAGTGTTAAATATTCTTTATTTGGTATCATACACAAACCACACTGAAGCGCCTTTTGTTAGTTAAAAGGCAATATTTTAGATATAGGGAATTTTAATTAGATTGACATAGTTAAGAGCAAAAAGATAAAGTGGCCATTGCTACCTTCTCTCCAGTCCTTGCATGTAAACAGGCTGATGTTTAGTGTTTCTTTTGAAACTTTGCCTCTTGCATCTTCGAAGTCACTTGCAAACTCCAGGTGCCCACTCCCTTTCCATGCTTACTCTTTATTCACTCATTCACTTACTCAGTAAATTTTTACCAAGCAGCTAGTCTGTGCCAGGACTGTACGCATCGTTTTATTGAATCCATAGCAGCACAATGAAGTGTATATTTTGTTCTAGTTTTACAGACTGAGGAAGCTGAGTCTCAGAGAAGTAAAGTTGTTTGCTAGAGGTCCCCCAGCTTTGGGGTTTGACTTCAGGTCTGTTTAATTTCAAATTTGAGTTCACTGAGGATCTCCTGTATGGCAGGCAGTGCTCAGGGTGCTGGAGACCAGCATGATCCCTGCCCTTGTTACAGAACAGGCACACTACAGTGAGGCCTGGTGGCTGCTGTGTGAGCTCAAGATGAAACTTGACCTGGTGGGGGACTTCAGGGCAGGCTGCCCTGCAGAGGTGGCGCTTGTGCTGAGATCTGATTGTGAGAAGAAGCAAGCCAGATGGAGGAGGCTTGTGAGAGCCTCCCAGGCTGGAGGAATCAGAGCCAGACTCAGAAACCTCTAGCCCCAAGAGGGAGCAAGGGCTAAACCTGGGAGGTTGCCTGGAGGAGGGGTCTCTGGAGTTGGGCTTTGCAAGAAGAGGAGTTTTCCAGGCAAGAAAAGGGTATTTTAGTCGAAGAGCACAGCATAAATAAAGGCTCACTGAGTCTTTAATCGGAGAGTTAAACTTCCAGGACAGCTGGAGGCAAAGGCTGGACAATGCAGGGTCACAGCACATGCAAAGGCCCTGAGATGGGAGCAGGACTGGTGTGTTCAAGAAAGAGCGAGGTGGCCGTGTAGTTGGAGCAGAGTGAGCGAGAGGGACAGAAGAGCGGGTGAGGCCGGGAAGCAAAGGGGGGAGGCATGATAGCTTGGCATCGGTTTGATTCTGAGAATTCCGGGGGCATGAATGGAGCCCTGGTGGTGCAGTGGTTAAAGCGCTGGGCTGCTAACCAAAAAGGTCAGAGGTTAGAACCCACCAGTCGCTGTGCGGGAGAAAGATGTGGCAGTCTGCTTCCGTAAAGATTTACAGCCTTGGAAACCCTATGCGGCAGTTCTACCCTGTCCTGTAGGGTTGCTACTCAAGGACAGTGGTTTTGGTTTTTTGGAGGGGGAGGGGACGGGGGATGATGTGGGGGTGACCGACCAGCAGAGGGCGCCTTGTCCTCACAAAGGCGGTGCCTGGCAGTCCTTCAGCAAAGCGCCTGCGCTCTCCCTGCCCACCAGGTGAGGTGTGAACGGTGGGTTAACTCTCGTCGACCAACAGACAGAGGAACAGTCTCACATTAGGTCAAGGTCTAGAATGATCACCCAAGTGATGCGAGATACAAGCTCTCAGGTTTCAGGGGGCGCATGAGAAGAGGCTGGGCGTGTCCAGGGCCGAAATGAAGGGGGTCTTCCGGAGACGTCCAGAATTCCCCGAGCATAACCACTAGAAGGGACCTTCGATTCCGTTTTTTTCACAGACTTTTTTGTGCTGTACCACTTTTTGTTGATTTGTTTACTTGTTTAACAGCTGGGGTGGGGGCGGTTCTTGAAAGGTAAGGGCCCCTCCGTGAGTTGAGTCCTTGGATATTACTGTGTTAACCACTTTGCAGAAAAATAAACTGAGGCCCAGGGAAGAAAAGTTAAAAAGTGGATCAAATGGAGGTGGGCGTCCCTACATCCTCGGAGTGGGGAGGGCCTGGGAGGGCTCCCAGGAGGGGGCGAGCTGGGTCAGGGTCTCGGTGGGGAGGGGGATGCTCTTCGGGAAGGCTGCCCCGTCCTTGCTCCCCTTCCCCCCCTGCCTTGGCAGGAGGCTGGACCGAGGTCCTTGGCTACAATTCCTTTTTTCCAAGAAGGGTGAGGCAGTTTGTGGGAAGCAGCCAGGGGGTTATTTATAGAGGTCACAGGAAATCCCCAAAGAGTCTGAACCTCACCCAGTGGCTGGATGAAGGGTCAGGGAGGGGGCTGGCAGGCCAGTTGCTCCCTTTTCAATGCTCAGACCCTGCTCAGCCTCCAAGGAGCCTCCAGAGTCAGACTCAAACACCTCCTGCCCCAAGGGGACAAGGGCTAAACCTGGGAGGCTGCCTAGAGGAGGGGACTCTGGAGTTGGGCTTTGCAGGAAGAAGAGGAGTTTTCCAGGCCAGAAAAGGTTATTTTAGTCGGACAGCACAGCATAAATAAAGGCTTGATCGGAGAATTAAATGTCCAGGACAGCTGGAGGCAAACGTTGAACTGTGCAGGGCCACAAAAGGGCTGGGGAGCTGGATTTTGTCTCCAGGGAAATAAGGAGCCATGGAGGGTGTGTGAGCAGGGGAGGGATAGAGTCAGATCTTTGTGGCAGAAAGATCCTCTGGGGCCATCATGGGGGTTGTACTGAAGGTGGAAGCTGAGGTCCAGGTGTAGGAGGGCTGAGCCAGGGCCCAGCCATAGAGCCAGCAGAATGGGATGATATCCTGGAATGTTCTAGATGGCAGAGACCAAAGAAGCATTAGAGACCTGTGCCTGTTTATCCTGAGAGTTTAGAATTGTTATTATGCCCATTTCTCAGATGAGAAAACTGAGCCATCATTCAAATCCAGGGATGTCTGGCCCGGGAACCCGAAATCAGGCCCCTGTGGTCGCTGGGGCTGGCCTGTGTCAGTGTCCCCCTGACTCTGGGCTTCCAGGGCAGTAGGCTCAGGGTCAGGGACATCCCTGCTTCCTTGGGGCAGCAAGCCGGTCTGTCTGGGAGGCTGTCCTGGCTGACTGCCCTGGCCTGGCTTGGCTGAGCCCCAGCCGAGTGCTTCCCTTGCTTCCGCATCCAGGAAATATCGCTCCTTTGTCCCTGCAGACTGGCCTGTCCTAAGCGTGGCGCTGCCAGCCCCGGCTCCTCCTGACTCACACCTTCCCTGTCCAGGTCCCAGGGGATGGGCTTGGGAGGATGAGGGGAGGGGGGAGGTACCTCCATCTCTGACAAGCCAAGATTTTAGACCACAAATTTTAAGCAGTTTTTCCATGAATGGCCATTTGCTTTGTTTCCTGAAGTTTTATTTTTCAGTTACAAGCAGGAATATTCATTCTTATGTCCTGGAGATTTTATTTCTCAGGGATAAAGTCCTAGGAATGGGGTTGCCAAGTCAAAGGGTTTGTACAGCTTTACTTTTAGTAAATATTGAATAATTTCTAGAAGGACCATGATAAGAGTTGTGTATCTAGCAGTCCTGTAGGAAAATGCCCTTTTCTCTGCAACTTCACCAGCAATAGGTGTTATGGCTTTTTACAATTTTTTTCCTAGAGTCTGCTGGGTGCATTGTGATTCTCTGTGTTCCTTTCATTTGTATTTCCCTGGCTACTGGCTAATTTATGAGGCAGTGGTGGTTCAGTTGTAGAATCCTTGCATCCCTCATGTGGGAGACTGGGGTTTGATTTCCGGCCAGTGCACCTCGTGCACAGCCATCGCCCGCCTGTCAGCAGAGGCTTGCATGTTGATATGATGCTGAACAGGTTTCAGTGAGCTTCCAGACTAAGACAGACTAGGAAGAAAGACTAGTTGATCAACTTCTGAAAATCAGCCAATGAAAACCCTGTGGATCTTAACGGTCTGATCTACACCAATGAGGGAGATGGTGTAGAACGGGACAGTGTTTCATTCCGTTGTGCATGGAGTTGCCCTTAGTTGGGGGCTGACTCGAGGCAGCAAACAACAGTAACAGCTCTGGCTAATTTAGTGATATAGGTGAGTTAAAGTGCCCCTAAGACTGGCTGCCTTTGTCTTGCTGCAAAAACAAAACAAACAAACAAACAAGACAAAACAATGGCCAGGGACTTTTGTGATATTGCTCCTGGAATCATTTTGGAGAGAAGGAGTTCCTGCAATTCTCTGCAGGCTATTGTAGTTCTGTAATCTTTGTCAATACCTGGAAAATTCTTTGCAATCCTAGAAAAACCAAAGCTACAAATCGCTTTCAAATGGAAACCTACTTTTGAAAAGAAATTCTCAATTTAGCAGCAATCAGAGCTGTCCCAAGGCTATGCTTTGTAGGCATTTCATTAAATGCTTATTGGCTATTATTTTGCCAGCAGAGGATCTTGGGGGATCCTGGTGTTCCCCCCACATTTGTTCTTGGTAAGGGGTCTAGTGGCCTGGGGAAGTTGAGGGGGAGGTTCTGTTCAGTTCTCATCTCCTTTCTAGTTTTTTCTGGCTCACAGCCACGTGGTCTCTTTTCAAAGAAGAAATCACGGCTCTGAAGTCTTTAAAGGGATTGCTAACGTTTATTAAGTGCCAATAACATTTATATGGGCCCCGGGCAGGGCTGGGGTTAGAGGGAGTGACAGGGACAGCTCCCCTCCTCGGGCATTTAGGGGTGGGGAGGGGGGACTCCTCCCACCCCTGGATAGGCGCCCCCTCCCGCGAAGGGGCCTGGAAGCCATCAAGGGGGGATGGCAGCGAATGTCTTCCTGTTCTCACTGCCCGGCCCTGCGGGTGTGAGGAAGCTTCTGGAGATAAGGCAGCAGGGTGTGGGGGTGGGGGATGAGGTGTGCAGATGAGGTGGGGGCCATGGGGGGGGCTTGGCCGTGTGCAGGGGGAGGTGACACTGGGTGAATAAAGAAAGTGAGTGTGAAGGGACATTATCACTGTGTGTGACATTGATGCTGTGTCTATCACATTGACACCAAATCTGTGTGTGACATTGTTACTGTGTGTGCAGTGTTGACACCATGTCTCTGTGTAGTGTTATCACTGTGTGTGTGATGCTGTCACTATGTGATGTCATCGTGTGTGACATTGTCATGTCTGTGTGTGACATCATTGCCATGTCTGTGGGTGACACTGTCACTATGTATGTGTGACATTGTCACTGTGTCTGTGTGTAATGTTGCCATGTGTGATGTCATCACCATGTGCGATGTTGTTGTGTATGTGACATTGTTACTGCATGTGATGTTATCACCGTGTCTCTATGTGACATTGTCATCAGTGTCTGTAGGTGATGTTATCATGTGTCTGGAGGTGACAGTATCACTCTGTGTGATATTGTCACCGTGCCTGTGACATTGACACTGTGTGGGGACATCACATGGCTGTGGTCACGTGGTGTGGGGGTGGGGATGTGAGCCAGCACTGGAGGTGTCCGTGGGGGTGGGGAGGACTTTGGTGCAGTGAGTGGGAAGCTTGTCCACCTGCGGCCTGGGCTGGGGGACGGCGGGAGGGTTGTGTTGGCACCGCAAGCATCTTGCTGCATCATTGAGTTGGGGGCCCCCTCGGTCCTCGAGGCCTGGAGTCTTCTCAGCCACTGGAGCAGAAAGGGGGTGGGAACAAACACACAACGGTCCGTCAGAAGACAGATGGACAGACAGAACTCACCAGCCCTGGAGGCTCATCTGCAAGATGTCCTGAGAAACTGGCCCTGCCTCCTCCTGCCCTGGGCCCCTCCTTGCTCCCAAGGACCCCCAGCCTACTTCGGGGTGCAGGCTCCTTCTTCAACTTCCACTCTTTGAACCTCCCCAGACTGTGGAGGAACACACCTCCCCACTGTGCAGATGAAGAGACTGAGGTTCAGAGAGGCCCCCTCATGTGCTCCAGGCCACTGTTGCAGCCTGTCTGGCTCTCCCAACACTACTCAGAGTCCTGGGGATTCTGGGAGTTTGCTCAGTAGTCTTGCCCCACTCCCCCCTTGGGACCTGAGGCCAGCCTCAGTCTCCCCCTTTTGTCCACACAGAATTGACCGGATGCTGGCACCTCACTCCCAGGAGCATTTTTGTTGTTGTTGTTCATTGTCGTAGTTTAAGTGAAAGTTTACATTTCAAGTTAGTCTCTTATACAAACATTTATACTTACATTGTTATGTGACCCTAACTGCTCTCCCTGTACTGTGACAGCACACTCCTCCTTTCCACTCCTGATTTCCCAGCTCCTGACCCTCTCTGCCTTCTCATCTCACCTCCGGACAGAAGCTGCCGGTTTAGTCACATGTATCTACTTGACCTAAGAAGCACACTCTACACAAGTATCAGTTTATGTCCCACAGTCCAGTCCAATCTTTGTCTGAAGAGCTGGCCTCGGAAATTGTTTTAGTTCTGGGCTGATAGTCTGGGGGCCATGCTTTCTGGGGTTCCTCCAGTCTCAGATCATTAAGTCTGGTCTTCTTACTAGAATTTGAGTTCTGCACCCCATCTTTCTTCAGGAGCATTTTTCTAGTGAGCCTGCCCCTGCTCACACACCTGCTATGGCTCCCCAGTGCCCTCAAGAGAAAGCCTGAACCTCTGGACCTGGTATCCAGGGCTCCTCCTGCTCTGGCCCTGCCCGGCCACCCTCAGGGACTCAAACCCCTACGGAAGTCCCAAATGATGCAAGATTCCAAGATTCTCTTGCACGACTTCCAGCTCATTGCTGCTGTCTGGAGAGCCCTTCCCCCTCCTGGGCCTGGCAGAGGTTCTCGTGAGGGGTCAAGGGTTGGCAGGAGGCTGTTTCCTGGTGGGGGAAGGAGGGGGCTGTGGCCAAGTCCTGCTTCCGCTGGCCCCCTCCCTTCCTTCCCTGTCTCTTCCCTGGGGCCCCAGGGCCTCACGTTCCTTGGCCGGGTCTGTCCCCTTCCCTGGCTCTACCTCCCCCCCGGACCAGGATTCTCCCTGTTTGGGGCCAGGGTCCCACTCCTGCTTTCTTGCCTCCAAGAAATGGTGGTCCCTGTGTTTCAGACAAGGAGAATGGGGCTCTGAAGCCTCCATCATCACCAGTGCAGTCACCTCTGCCCTGCTCCCCTGGCTGCCACCCCCTTGCCCCCCATAGTCTGTTCCCTCCTCTGCTCACAGCCCTCCCTGGGCTCCCAAAGTCCTCCTTGCAGCCACCGGGCCCTGCCTGCCCTTCCCTGTCACCTCCTGGCCCTCACCTTCTCCCACTCACCCCCTCGATTGCTGCATTCTGGCGACACCAGCCTCCTCACCAGGCATGATCCTACCCCAGGACTTTTGCACAGGCTTGCCCTCTGCCTGGTGCACCCTTCTGGGGATCGCCCCATGGCTCTTCCCTCACCTCCTTCAGCTCTTTGTTCGGACAATGTCACCTCCTTGTGAAGCCCTCCCTGACCCCCATCCACCGCGCCAGCCTCGTCACACCCCCTCATCCTTTTCCCGTCTCACCCATCACCAAAAACCCAAACAAACCAAACCCATTGCCGTCAGGTTGATTCCAACTCAAGGTGTCCCTATGTGCTTCAGAGTAGAACTGAGCTCCAGAGGGTTTTCAACAGCTGATTTTTCAGAAATAGATCACCAGGCCTTTCTTCCAAGATGCCTCTGGATAGACTCCAACCTCCAGCCTTTTGATTAGCAACTGAGTGCGTTCACCGTTTGCACTATCCAGGGACGAGCGGCTGCTCAATAAATATGGGTTGAACAATGAATCCACAGTGAACTCCACTCATGAACCAAAGAATCATAATAGTCATGAACTTGAGCTTGGCTCAAAGCCAGCAAGGGCTGAACTCACATCTTTAATCTTTCATGAACCCCCCTGGAGATTTTTGCCATCTCTGGCCACATAGCCCTGCCCCAATATTTACTTAATATTTGCCTCTATATCAGTGGTCTTTTTTAACTTAAACAGATTTCTCTGCAAAGGACACCCAGCCTCACCAAGTGTAGGAACACTAGTGCACTTGCCATCAAGAGCAAATGACTTAGAAATGTTCAATAAGCAGTAAGACTTTGTCCTCCAGTTGGGCTAGAGACTGAGCTGCATCTGCTCTTGAAACACAGGAGATTTGCAAATGTCCAGGAAGAGTTAAGGGTGAGCTAGCAACAGTGGAGATTTTCTTGAAGTTCAGAAAATGGAAATGGAATGAGCTCCCCACCTACCTCCTATGCTGGGGCAGGGTGACTAGCACCGGGCCTCGGACTGGCCCCTGATAAGATGCCTCTAAAATTTGGCTATTGTGAGTCTAAGGCGGTGACTCAGCCCTGTTCCCAGCTGGCTGAGCTGGAACTTGAACCCAGAGCTGACGCACACACACCCCTGCACCCTGGGTGGCCGGCGGTTGCAGCTGGAGGTTAGCGGGCCAGAGGCCCTTCCTTCGACCCTGCAGAGAAAGCCAGGCAGGGCCCAGGCCTGAGTGGGCATTGTTTTCTCAGCAGGGGGACGTCATTTGGGGTAAACAATGTCAAGTGTTTCCCCGGTTCTCAGCTGGGGCCCGGACAGGCCTGGGCTGGGAGCCCGGTCCGACTCGCCGCCGGCACCGCCACATGACCTCGGACTGGTCACTTCCCTGGGGCCTCAGTTTCCTCCTCTGAGAAATGGGGATAATAATAGAAACTCCTTCCTTGCTGTGAGGGCTTTGGGCCAAGACAGAGGGAGAAAAGTCGTGTTTGTCTGGAGCAAGTTCTTTTCCGGACCCTCTTGCTTCCCTCCCTGTGGGAAGCAGAGCTATTCAGAGCTGGAAGACAGTTCTGTAAGAAGGTGAGCTCCCCATCACAGGGTGTATGTGAGAGGAAGTGTGGTTGGGATGGACGTGAAGCCCTCCAGAGAGCTGGAGGACAGTTCTGTAAGGAAGTGAGCTTCCCAGCTCGTGGTTATGTAAGAAAAAGCATGGTGGAGCTGGACGTGGAGCCCCCTGGGAAGTTGAAGGCTGCGGTGCCATAGATTGCTTTTGCGTGACCTTTCTAGCCATAGCCTTGTAACTTCCACCCAAGTGATTGGGCAGGACTGTGTGATAGGGTAATTGTGGCCCACCAAGGGGATTGGTTAATTTTGCCATCCCGCTGAGCTTGAAATGAGCCACCCCAGAGGAGGGAAAGAAGAAAGAAGATCCCACCACCACCAAGAAAGAACAGCCAGGAGCCAGACATCTTTTGACCCAGGATCCCTGTGCTAAGAAGCTCCTGGAAGTAGGAGACTGAGAGAGGAGTGAGCTGTAACCCTGCAGATGGCAAGAAGTGGTGGCAGGAGAGACCTGGCAGCTGAGACCCCACAGCTGGAGATGGTGCGGTGGGTCCTGGCCCACAGAAAGAAAAAGCTGTGTGCCTTTGGGCAGAGGTCTAGGGCCAGGGAGAGGCGTGCCTGTGAGCAAGGCTGGTAAAAGGCTGTCCTAATGAAAGAACTGTATCCTTGAATGTTTCTGAGCCTGAATTGTAACTGTTACTTCCCTAATAAACCGTATAATTATGAGTATTGACTGAGTTCTGTGTGGCCATTGCAATGAATTATCGAACCCGGTAGAGAGTGCTGTGGGAAGGACTGTTGGTGTCAGAGTTGGTAAAGATGGTGGAAAGAGGAAGCATGTCTGACCTCTGCCTCATAGGAATCAGCCTTGGGCTGTTGGTCTTGATTCTTCTTCCTCCTTGTGAAGTTAGAGGAGGTCAGACACTACCCCCACACCGTTTTTACAACAGCAAAGTTTTGGAAGTCTGTTTGGCCCAGGCGCACCTGCATTTGTCTCCCTGCGGCTGCAACAGAGCCAACCTGACAATAGTCTGGAGGCGAAATGGTCAAAGGCACAGGTTTTCGGATCCAAGGTATCTGACTTAAAGTCCCAGCACCTCCTTGAGCTTGGGTGCCAAGCTGAAATGGGAACACTGTCCCCGGCCCCTCAGTCAGCAGCAGCATCCTGAACAGGAGTAGCCACCACCCTGGAGGAGCACTGGGCGTTCTCAGGGAGTCTGAGTCACCTTCCCTATGACGCACAGGGTGTCCCAACACATGACCAGCCCTGCGTTGGGGAGGGGTGCACCGGCGTCGGGCCATGACCTGAGCGCGTGCCAGGAGCCCTTGATACTCCTGCTGAGTCCCCCAGCCTTGGTTTTTACAGGCAAAGCATTTCCATACCCTTGACCTCAGGCCTCTTCGTTTTTGTGGAGGTGGAAACCGAGGAGCAGAGGCCTGGGTGAGAGACCCAGGGTCACTCTTGGATGTTGCTCCCTCAGCTCCAGCCACATCCCCTTCTGGCGGGTCTTCAAACCCTCCCCGCCCCAGTGCAGCCTCAAGGCTTTTGCACGTGCTCTTCCTGCTGCCTGGAGCACTGTTCCCTCTACTCTCGCTGTAGCCAGGTCCTCCTCACCGTTCAGCTCCAGGCCCTCTCTTGCTTGTCTGGTGTTTGAGAGCCTGGGCTCCTGTATGAACTCTGCATTTCCTGGCCGTGTTACCTGGGCCCCTGTTCCATCAATGAGCCAAAGACAGCCTCTGTGTATCAGCCCCAGGTTACCTACTTCTTCATAGCAAGCTGAAGCCCTTTAGCTTCCCCCGCCCCCCTCCCCCAAAAATAAAGCAGTTGCCGTATAGGTGGCTCTGACTCACGGTGACTCCGTGTATATCAGAGTAGAACTGTGCTCCGTAGAGTTTTCAATGGCTGTTTTTTTGGAAGTAGATAGCCAGGCCTTCTGAGGTGCCTCTGGGTAGCCTCAAACCGCCCACCTTTTGGTGAGTACCCAAGTGCATTCACTGTTTGTGCCACCCGGGAACTCCCCACCCCAAAAAAAAACCTGCCAGTGCCAAATTCAAATTTGTACACATCAAATTGTTTTTAAAAATGGTCCAAATACAAGGACTAGAAGGCAGGAGGGGACACAAGAAAGCTAGTAATAGGGAACCCAAGGTTAAGAAGGGACAGTGTTGACATGTCGTGGGGTTGTTAACCATTGTCATAGGGCAATATATGTACTAACTGTTTAATGAGAAACTATTTGTTCTGTAAACCTTTATCTAAGGTCCAAAAATATTAGCTGTGTGAGATCAAATTGACAACAGCAACTCAAAAGGTTTGATGGGAAGCCTAGGGGGCAGTGAGTTGAAGATAATGGTGATGGAATAGTTTGGAAAAGGATAGTGAGAATAGCAGCACAACTGTAAGAATGTAATCGATGTCATTGAATTGTACATGTAGAAACTTTTGAAATGGTGTAACTTTGGCTATGTATATTTTCACCAAAAAAACAAAAAGGTCCTCCAAGGTTAAGAAGGGAGACTTTTGACATGTCATGGGGTTGTTAACCAATGTCATAAAACAATATGTGTACTGACTGTTTCATGAGAAACTATTTGCTCTGTAAACCTTCATCTGAAGTACAATAAAAAAAAATGGTCCAAAATAAGCAGATTTTTAGCCAATTAGGGCCGACCTGCTTTATATACCCTGAAAAACTGTGCCCAACATCTGCTGGCCCTAGATACAATAAAATCCTGAAGTGATAAAGACCCTAAGGTGGTGGTTCAGTGGTAGGATTCTCGCCTTCCAAGTGGGAGACCCAGTCTGATTCTTGGCCAATGCACCTCATGCATGGCCACCACTCATCTGTCTGTGGGGACTTGGGTGTTGCTGTGATGCTGAACAGGTTTTGGCAGAGCTTGCAGACTAAGATGGATTAGGACGAAAGGCCTGGAAATCTGCTTGTGAACATCAGCCAATGAAAACCCTATGGATCACAATGGTGCAATCCAAAACCAATCATGGGGATGGCACGGGACCGGGCAGCATTTTGTTATACTGTGCATGGGGTCGCCATGAGTCGGGGTGACTCGACGGCAAAGTGCTGCTGCCTTCGGCACTCTCTGACTCAGAGCCTCCCCACCTTGCTGCAGAAGACATCACCTAGGCACACATAAGCCCTCCCCTTCTCCTCTTCCCCAAAGGTTTCCTTGCCCTCTTCTCCTTCTGGTGGCTTCCTGTGCCAGACCTTCCTGGCAGACCTTCTGCTGCAGGGGACTGTCCCCAGCATGGGACTGTCAATGTGTCGGCCCCAATAAATAGCTTGCTGTGCAACACTGCTGTCTTGTCGTCATATCTTTGTCCTTTATCAGCCCCTATACTCCCTCGAACTCACTACAGGCATGATGCACACCCTCTCTGTGTGTCAGTTTCCCCACCTGTTAGGGTTGCCAGGACTAAATGAGTTTATCATGCGAAGAGCTTAGAACTGTGCCAAGCTCACAGTCAGCCTAATAATTGTGGGCTCTTGGCCAGTCTTGTCATCATGACTTGTTCACTGCTGTCTCGCCTGATACTCTGGGACTTTTGTGAGGATGGAACCTAGTGTGTCTTGGTTGCTTCTGTGTTCCTGGACCCAGCACAGGGCCTGGTGTGCAGCAGACACTCGATTAGGGAAGTAGCAAGTGTGAGATGAGCTCCCTCCATCCCCAGCCCTGGTCCCAGCCTCGCCTGCAGCCCCGAAGGCTGCCCAACACCTCACCTGTATGGGGCTGCCACGTTGCTTGCAGAGTGCCTCTGGGACTCCAGGATCTTCCTCTTGAATTCCTCCAGAGTAGCTGAGTCTGTGGAGAGAGGGAAGGGTCAGGCCTGACCTGTTGCCCCAGTAGCCCCTGCCCCTGGGCTGGGGGTTGGGCTGGCAGCCTAGGATAGTGGGGCTAGGGTATGGTGCAGGGTGGAAAAGACCTCCCTCCCTCTGGCTCTACCCTCTGTCACTCACCGATGGGCGGGGGGTTGGGGAGAGAGCCCACGGGTCTTGGCAAGGGAAAGGGCATCGGCTGCGACTGTGGGAAGAAGGATGGAGAGAAGTTGTCAGGAGGGGTGGTGGGGGCCACTGAGCTCAAAAACCGGGAGACTTCTGCCCCTACATGCCTGGGTCTGATCCTTCCAGGGCAGAGAGACAGACAGATAGTAACAGACGACATACACCAATGGTAGGCATATGATCACGCACACCCACCATGAGCCCTCAAATGACTTGGGGACACTAGGGACTGGCTCCCCTTGGCTGCCCTCAAGAGACTTCACTCTTCAGGGCTAGCCCTGACTTGGTCTGCGTCTTGACCTCAGCTCTAACCACAACCCCAATGGTGTCAGCCCACCCAGCCTGGCCCTCCCAAACTGAAGCCAACCCACTCTGAAACCAACTCCACCTTGATCTTCAATGCCATACCCCCAAAATCCTGAGTCAAATCCTTCCAAACTAAAATCCAAGCCAATTCTGAACCCAATCGTAGCCCTAAATTCTGATCTCAACTTAAAAGCTAAACCTCCCTTAGCATAAAGCCCCCACCTAAACCCAATCCCAAACCTGGTCTGACCATACCTTTAGATCTAACTCCAACTCCAACCACATCTTGTAGACTCATCCACCATGAAAAGTCTAACTCCCAACTTCAAACCCTTAGCCCCAGCCCTAGGCTGCAGCATGCCCACCTGCAGACAGCTTCCCAAAACCCTAATCAACCCCAACTCCCACCTTATACCCCAACCTCTACCTGAAACTCAACCCCAAAACAGCCCCTACCCTAAACCCATCCTCAGTTTCAACTCAACCCCCAAATCCACCCCAGTCCTAAAGCCAATGCTCCATGGAGCCCTGACCTTAATCCCAATGCAGCCCACACCCTAAACCCATCCTCAGTCCCAACTCAACTCTCAAAAGCTCCTCAATCTTAAAAGACAAAGCTCCACGGACCCCTGACCTTAACCCCAAAGCAGCCCTTAACCCAGCTCCACAGGATTCTACTCTAGGCCCAGCCCTGACCCTCACCCCAATCCCAATATCCCTCAACCCTAACCCAGTGTCCCCCAGTCCTTCAACTCAAATATATACCAACTCCAACCCTAGACCCACCAGCCACCCTAAACCCAACTCAATCTCTACTCTTAAGTCATCGAGTAAGCACTTTGAACTGTGCCAAGATCACAGTAAGAGCCTAATAACTGTGGGCTCTTGGCTATTCTTAAAATCACGACTTATTTATTGTCTGTCTCTCCCAATTGTCTGGGAGTTTCATGAAAATGGCATTGTCAATGCCAGTCCCAATCTTAATGCCAGTAAAATCCTAAATTCACCTTTAGCTGCAAATCTTTAACCACCTCTAGACCCACCAGCCACCTACACCTACCAGAGACTCAACTCCAGTCTAAATGCCTAAACTCAATCCAATCCCACAGCAAGCGAAATCCTAGATTCATTTATCATCCAACCCTAGGCCTGCCACCCTACATGCAACCCTGACTCCACTTTTAACATTTTCTCACTCTCCAAACTCCAACTCAACCCCAATTTTAAGACTAATGAAATTCCAGATGGAGCTCTAATCTTAACCCAAACCAATTCCAGACACAGCAATCACCAAAAACTCACCTCAGCCCAACTATACTATAATTGAACTCTATCAGTTCAATGTCCACACTAACTTTTACTCTTGTTGTTGTTAGTTGCCATCGAGTTGATTCCAACTCATAGTGACCCCATGTGTGCAGAATGGAACTGCTCCATAGGGTTTTTAATTCGGAATCGACTCAATGGCAGTGGATTTGGTTGTTTTTGGTTATAGGGTTTTCAAGGCTATGACCTTTTGGAAGCAGAGCTCCAGGCTTGTCTTCCGAGGAGCCTCTGGTGGGTTCACACTGCCAATCTTTCAGCTAGTAGTCCAGTGCTTAACCATTCGTGACAGCCAGGGACCTGACTCTTACTCTAGAACTGATTAACCCCCTTCCTTAACCTGATGTCTCACCCAACCCTAACCCCATGCCCCCAAAACCTTCAACACAAATACATCCCAACTCTGACTCCAACCCCAATCCTAATCCTAACCCCAATCCTAACCTCAACCCTAGATGAATCCCTAGCCCTAACCCTAAACAAATTTGAGGACCACCAGCCACCTTAAACTCAACCCCAGCCTCAACTCTTCCCCTTTCCCTCTTTCTCAATTAGGTTCCTAATTCCAAACTCCACCCCAATCCTAATGCCAGCAAAACCCTAAATTAACACTTGACCATAACCTTAAAGCCAACTCAAGACTCAAGAGCCACCCCGGACTCAATTTTAAATCCACCCTCAATGCCTAAACTCAAACCAGTTCTAAAGCAACCAAAATCCTACATTCACTGCTTCACCCAACTCTAGACCCAGCAGCCACCATACCCTCAGCTCCAGTCTTAATCCTACACGATCCCATTTTCAATGCCAATTCTCATTCCAAACTCCACCCCAACCTAGTGCCAGTGAAACCCTCAATCAAGTCCTAACTAACCCAATATAGACATGGAAGCCAACCTCAAACCCAACTCTAAACCCAAGTTCAACATCACCACCACCTTGGCCTCCAGACCCAAGCCCAACACAACCCTGTTCTGGGGCCGCCGGCCCACCTTGGCCTTGATGCAGGTGTCCAAGGCTGAGTTGCCGATGGCCAACTGCATCTTGAGCTGCTCTGCCTCCTTCTTCTTCTCTTCCAGCTCCTTGGCCAAGCTATCTCTTTCCTTTCGCAGAGTCGCCTTCTCCTCCAGAGCTAGCTGGGTCTGCCGGGCACATTCGGCTTGGAGCTTGGCCTCTCGGGCCTGGGCCTCCTTCTCCACTTTCTCCTTGGCCTCCTGACTGGCCTGCAGGCCACGCTCAGCCTCCAGCTTCTGGCGCTGGAGGTCCGCGTTCTCGCGGGCCACGCGATCGATGTCCACTCGCAGGCTGCGGGCCAGCTCTGCCACCTTGGCGTTCATGAGTTCAGGCATGCGGTCACAGCTCCTGTGGATGGAGGCTAACTCCCCACCGAAGGAGTGGTAGGGGCCATAACTCAGGGAGTCCAGGGTGCGCGGGATTATGGAATCCCTCCAGAGGTTGCGCACGTCCGTCTCAAACTTATCCTTGTCCCACTGGAGGCAGAGGGTTTCCACTTTGCGCAGCTGCTCCTCAGCAATGCGCTTTTCTTGCTGCAGCTGCCCCTGTATCTTCCCGCAATCAACCAGCTGCTCCTCCACCTGCCGCTTGCCCAACACCAGGGCCTCCTTGTCTTTGGTGCACACTGCCTTCTCCTTTTCCAGTTCCAACTCCAGCGTCTTGGCCTTCTGGCCCAGCATGAAGAGTAAAGCTAAGGACACAGGAGATTCAGACATGAGAATGCCTGGGGCTTGGGGTCTACCACCCCAGTGCCCCACCTCCCACCCTACTCACAGTTGCAGCTCTTGTTGTTCTCATTGAGATGCTCCTTGCATTGCTTCTCACTCAAGATGATGGCAGCCATGTATCGTTCGTTGTTCAGATAGATGGCCTGGGAGGATGCAGGACACAAGATGGAGGGCAGTGAGCAGCCACTGTGGGCTCCCTGCCCTGGGCTGTCCAGTCTCATGGTTTGGGACCCAGGCTGAGCACCCATATGGCCTGGCTGGCTGCATTCACAAAGGGTGTAGGTCTGGTCTTTGTTATGGATTGGATGGTGTCCCCCAAAAAGTTATGTTGAAGTCCTAACCCCCGCACTGGTGAATGTCACCTTGTCTGGAAATAGAGATTTTCTTTGCAAATGTTATCAGTTAAATTAGTAGTCGTATCAGAGTAGTTGTTGTTAGCTGCTGTCAAGTCACTTCTGACTCTTGGCAACCCCATGTGTGCAGAGTAAAACTGCTCCATAGGGTTTTCAAGGCTGTGACCTATAGAGTTGCTATGAGTCAGAATTTGGTTTGTTTGTTTTTTTTTGTTTAACCTTTTGGAAGCAGGTCTCTAGGCCTTAACTTCCAAGGTGCCTCAGGGTGGGTTTGAACTGCCAATCTTGGTTATTAGCCCAGTGCTTAACCATTTCACCACCCAGGGACTCATACCAGAGTCCTGGGTGGAGCAGTGGTTAAGAGCTCGGCTGCTACTCAGAAGGTCAGCAGTTCAAATCCACCAGCTGCTCCTTGGAAACCATATGGGGCAGTCCTACTCTGTCCCATAGGGTTGCTATGAGTTGGAATCAACTCAACGGCAACGGGTTTGGTTTTTTTTGGGTTTGGGACTCATACCAGACAGAGTAGGGTGGGTCCTAATCCAAATCCTTTCTGACTAGTGTCTAATAAAAGAAAAGGACAAACACAGAGACAGAATCACACATGGGTGAGAAGACAGACGCCATGTAACGATGCATCTAAAAGCCAAGGAATGCCTGGGCTGCCGGAAGAGGAAAGAGACGCAGAAGGATGCTCCCAAGGGACTTCATAGGGAATGCAACCCTGCCAACGCCCTAAATTCAGACTTCTAGCCTCTACAACTGTGAGACAATAAATTTCTGTTCTTTAAAGTCACCCCCCCCTCAAAAAACCAAACCAACTGCCATCAAGTCAATTCTGATTCATGGTGACCTCATGCCCCATGTGTGTCAGAGTAGAACTGCACTCCATAGGGTTTTCAATGGCTGATTTTTCAGAAGTGGATCGCCAGGCCTTTCTTCTGAGGTGCCTCTGGGTAGACTCAAATCTCCAACCTTTCAGTTAGCAGCCTAGTGCATTGATCTTTTATGCCACCCAGAGATTCCTGAGTCACCGACTTTGTGGTATTTTGTTATGGCAGTCCTGGGAAACTGAGACAGTCTTCAAAGTTTTTACAATTAATACTATTCAGCAATAAAAAGGAATGAAGTACCAATACACGCCACAACATGGATGAACCTTAAAAACATTGTGTGCATAGTTGAGGTCAACTGATCTTTGATAAAGTTGCTGTTATGGATTGACTTGTGTCCTCCAAAAATGTGTGTCAACTTGGCTAGGCTACCATTCCCAGTACTGTGTGTTTGTCCACCATTTTGTCATCTGATGTGATGTGATTATCCTATGTGTTGTAAATCCTGCCTCTGTGATGTTAACGAGGCAGGATTAGAGGCAGATATGTTAATGAGACAGGACTCAATCTACCAGATCAAGTTGTATCTTGAGTCAATCTCTTTTGAGATATAAAAGAGAGAAGCAAGCAGAGGAGAGGGACCTCATGCCACCAAGAATGAAGAACCAGGAGCAGAGTGCACCCTTGGGACCCAGGGTCCCTGTGCTGAGAAGCTCTTAGACCAGGGGAAGATTGATGACAAGGACCTTCCCCCAGAGCCAAAAGAGAGAGAAAGCCTTCCCTGAAGCTGTCACCCTGAATTTGGACTTCCAACCTCCTAGGTGAGAGAATAAATTTCTCTTTGTTAAAGCCATCCACCTGTTGTATTTCTGTTGTAGCAGCACTAGATAACCTGAGTCAGGTGCCAAGATAATTCAATGGCAGAATAGTCTCTTCAACAAATGGTGCTGGTACAACTGGATCTCCACGTACAAAGGAAAGAAGTTGGGTGCTTACCTCACATCATATATAAAGATTAACTCAAAATGGATCAGAGACCTAAATGTAACAACTAAAAACATAAAATTCTCAGAAGGAAACATATTGGTAAATCTTCATGACCTTGAACTTGGAAATGGTTTCATAGATATGGCACCAAAAGCATAGGCAACAAGAGAAAAAAATGGATGGGACTTCATGAAAAGTAAAAAGTTTTGTGCATCAAAAGACACCATCAAGAATGCGAAAATATAGCTCACAGAATGGGAGAGAATATTTGCAAATCATAAGGGACTACTATCCAGAGTGTGTGTATATATATATATATATATATATATATTAGTGTGTATATATATGTATATATGAGTGTCTATATCTATCTATCTATATGTATATATACAGACTCATAGCAATCCTATAGGACAGAGTAGACCTGCGCCATAGTATTTCCAAGGTGCAGCTAGTGGATTCGAACTGCTGACCTTTTGGTTAGCAGCCAAATGCTTAACCACTGTGCCACCAGAGTTCCATACAGAAAACTTTCCAAGAGAACCCTCTGCAGAAACATAATAAGTTAAGACGCAAGCAAGGAGGGTTTATCTTTCTGCAACACCAGTGTCCTTTCTTCCTTTCCGAGCTGAACCTCTGTTGCTATACTCTGGGGTAGGAGGTGGAGGACAGAAATAGCTTGTGAAGCTCCTGGCTTTTTTCCAAAGTCTTAGCCACGGAGGGGAGATATGCGGGTGAGGATAGAGTGAGCTGGCTTCAAATGTGAATTGAAAAAGAGATTTCCATTGGGCCAGAGCAAGTGGCAAGAGGAGCTCAGGACCCTGCTTCTCTGCCACACCCCAGCAAGAAATACCACCTGGTCCACTGGCTGGGGTACTGGCAAGTTGGCAAAGACTGGGGTGCGGAGACCCTGAAGATTATGGAGTTAAGCCCCCTGCCCTCTGCAGGGGTGCAGGGCCAGAAATTCAGTTGCATTTGTAGAAAATTTAAGAAAAATCATATTTCTGGCACAACAAGGACTGCGGAGAGACCAAGATTCAGACCCGCTCTGATCAGAGTCCCTGGGTGGTACACACGGTGATTTGTGCTAAGCTGCTACCTGAAAGGTTGGAGGTTTGAGTCCGCTCAGAGGTGCCTTGGAAGAAAGGCCTGGCCACTGACTTTCGAAAGCTCAGCTATTAAGAACCCTATGGAGCACAGTTCTACACTGACACACACAGGGTCTCCATGAGTCCAAGTCGATTCCACAGCAACTGGGTTTTTAAGATCAGAGACAAGGGCCCACCCTGGGGGTCTGAGTAGGGGCAGCACGGCCCTGTCCTGAGAGTCTAAAGGGGGAGAGAGGACCCTGCCCTGGGGGACTGAGGGGGGAGATAGAACCCTGCCTTGGGTGTCTGAATGGCACCCTCCACATCCTCCCTGCCCAGTGGGGAGGGCTGGGTGGTCTGAGACCCCAGTGTAGACCTTTCCTCCTGTGGGAGAAACAACCGCTGCCCCCCACCCGGCGTTCTCTCACCCCCGCCCTCCCCATCTCCCCCATCCCAGCCCCAGCCTGAGAGGAGGCTCTCACCGTCCCCTCCCTTCACTATCCCTGGGCTAGCAGGCCCTTCCCAGAAGAGATGTATGTGAGAGGACATGGGTGACCGTCAAGTATGTTGTGCACGAGCTGGAGATGCAAGGGGGTGATGGGGTCTCCACATGACCCCCAAGTGTGCAGTTGCGACTGTCCCCCAGGACATCCTTTCCGCCCTCCCCCCCAAATCCACCCAGGAAAGTTCCTCCTCTCGGGCCTCCATTTCCTGGTCCACAAAAGGGTTTACAGATTCTCACTACCTCCTAGGATTCAATGATGTGGTAATATTTATAAGGTGGACACAGCACACAGGGAAATACAGTCGTTATGAGGAGCCCTGGTGGTACAGTGGTTAAGTGCACGGCTGCTAACTGAAATGTCAGTGGTTCCAACCCACCAGTGGCTCCGAGGGACAAAAGACCTGGGGATCTGCTCCCTTAAAAATTACAACCTAGGAAACCCTATGGAGCAGCTGTACTCCGTCCCATAGGGTTGCTATGAGTCGGAATTGACTCAGCAGCATCCAACAACAACAACATAGCTCTTACGGAGTCTGGGTGGTGCTAAAGGTGAGTGTGCTCGGCTGTTAACCAGAAGGTTGGCAGTTCAAGTCCACCCAGAGGTATCTTGGAAGAAAGTTCTGGCGATCTACTTGTGAAAAATCAGATACTGAAAACCCTATGAGCACAGTTCTACTCTGACACACATGGGGTCACCATGAGTCAGAATCAATTTGACGGCAACGGGTTGGTTATAGTTATTATGACTGACTAAGAACCAAATGCTGAGAGCTTTTATTTAACCAAAAACAGGCTGGCAATCTGCTTCCAAAAGGTCTTGAAAAACCTATGAAGCAATTTGACTCTGCACACATGAGGTGGCCATGAGTCAGAATCAACTCCAGGGCAAATAGCAACAACACCACTTTGCATCTAGTGTACGTGGGCTCATTGCGAGCTCTTTACACATATTATGTCATGGGTTTGGGCTGCCAGTTCACATACAGGACACCCAGGTAAAGGTGGATTTCAGGTAAACAATGAATCATTTTTTTAGGATAAATATAGCCCCAAAATTGCATGGGATATACTTATCCTAAAAAAAAAAAAAATTCTTCATCGTTTATTGACATGGGCTCCTCAGGTAAAATGTAGGTTCTGTGACAGGCCCTGTCTCACAGATGAGGACATGGGGGCTCAGAGAGGCGGTATGAGGCCACCCAGGGTCTCAAGGGGCCTGAGTCCTTACCCGGTCACCCTGGCACTGGCGGAAGCTGGCGTTGATGCGGTCCAGGTCACGGCGGGCATTCAGCAGTAGCTGCATGATGGTCTCCTTGGCACGGGTGGTAAGGTTGAGCTCCTTGGTCAGGTTGGCCTGGGAGGCTGTGAGCCCCACGACCTGGCCATAGAGGCCTTCAGCCCGGCGCTCCGTGGCCTGCAGGTTGGACTCGGTGCCACCGTGCACATTGCCATACACCATGAAAAGCACGAGGCCCAGGATGATGAGGAACTGGATGAGGGAGACGAAGAGGAAGAAGTAGCGAAAGTAGTACCAGCAGCCCCGTTCACCACCCCCCGCCTTGTGCAGCCCCCGTGAGTATGGCCCCCCGCGCTCCATGACCAGGCCCATGTGCAACCCTCGGCTGGCTGGTCTGCTCTGGGCACGGCGGTGGCCCCTCCTGGATATCGTCACAAGAGGAGTGTTTATATTACTTCTTTTAATACTTCCTCTGCCTGGCTCCTTCCTGGCCAGGAGGAAACGGGGGCTGCGGGTTATCACAACACTCCCATGCAGGTTATCACAACACTCCCACCCGGGCTATTGAGGGGGGCCAGGCGCAGCTGGGCGGGGTGACCTGCCTCCCTGAGCCTCAGTTTCTCCCCTCCCTCGCCCTTGCTCGGTGACACTGTTCTCAGCACAAGATGTGTATGATCTCATTTAACACCCCTAGGCCTGGTGGAGTCCCTGGGTGGCGCAAACAGTTCACACGCTCAGCTGCTAACTGAAGGATTCAAGTCTACCCAGAGGCACCTCAGAAGAAAGCCCTGACAATCTACTTCTGGAAAGTCAGCCGTTAGAAACTCTGTGGAGCACAGTTCTACTCTGACACACATGGGGTCGCCATGAGTCAGGGTCAACTTGACAGCAATTGGTCCAGGTCTGCTGCTATCCTCATTATGCAAAGGAGGAAACTGAGGCACAGGGAGGAGGAAGGACTTGCCCTGGGTCTCCTGGTTCGCAGACCTGGAATTTAACCCCTGCAGGCTGGTTGAGTGTGTACCCACTTCACAGCATTGTTAAACAAGGCAAAACTTAGGAAGGGCTTAGCCCAGAGCTGGGTACACAGTAGGTGTTCAATAATTGCACTCGAGAGCTCCTTTTGGAGAGCTGGACTATGGATGGCAGCAGTGCTAGGTTCCCTAAATTCTGTCATCTGCCTAATGTCCCGTTCACTTCGGCGCTCAGTAAGTGCTTCAGGCTAGCAGAAGGAGCTCTGGATTTGGAGCTCAGTCTGTGCCTCAGTTTCCCCCTCTGTAAGATACAGGGCTGTGGTGAGGCTCACGAGAAAGGATTGGCTGCTATTATTATTACTATTTGCTGTTATTATTGTTACTATTATTATTACTCAGCAGCAGGACGGGGGAGCTCAGTGAGATGGTGAATTTGAGAAGTGTCCAGCTAGGTTGGGGACCAACTTCCTGCCTCCTGACCTCCTGACTCTTGAACCCACACTGACCTCCAGTCTTGGGGAGACAGAGCGTGAGACAGACACCCCTAGTCCCAGGGGGTCAGGGCTGGGTAGGGGGAGATGGTTGGGGCTGAGGAGGAGGCTGGACCCTGAATAACAATAACACAATTGCTGTCCACTATGGGAGACAGTAGGGCGAAGGCCAGGGCACTCTCTATTAGCCAGGGTGATGTCGTGGGGGGCTACTTGACAGGGGAGGGGTCCTCCAGGGTGGTGCTCCACAAGGTGGGAAGAGGAGGGGGATTGAGTTGAGAAGGAGGAAGTTCCCAGGGGGAGTCAGGAAACCACTGTCTGACCTTTGGCCTTTGTAGCTACCCTGGTGGTTCCTGATTCCGGACCCCTGGCAGCTCAGGGGGGTGGGGTGGGTGAGAAGGGTCGGGGGCTGCAGCTGGTGCCCAACCAGCTGTTTATCCAGGCTCGCCAGGCCCACCCAGAGCCCCCAGAGCGGGGTAGAAGGAGGAGGTGTGCGCTAATGGGGGCATGTAGGCAGAGTGCGGAGCGGGTTACAATTTAGAGCGCTGGAGTTAACTTCTGGTGGTGCCATCTGCCAGCCATGTGACTTCCCCTCTCTGAGTCCAGCTTTCCCCTGTCGAAAATGGAGGCAATGTAGCTGGTTGTGAAGCACTTAACAGTGCTTGGCACACACTCAGCGGTAACAAATGGTGCTTTTTTTTTTTTTTTTTTTTTTTTAAGATAGGAAGGGCTGGGACTAGGAGCACCAGGGTAAGGGGGACATGACAGGGGTGGAGGAGGCCTGGGTGACAAGAGTCCACCAGAGGAACTTAGGCAGGGGCAGTGCCTGGACAAACGCTGGAAGGTGTAATAATCTTGGTGTGTACTTTAAGATGCTGGATATTTGTTATGGGTTGAATTGTGTCCCCAAAAAGATATGTTGAAGTTCTAACCCCTGCGAACATGAAGGTGTTATCATTTAGATTAACTGAGGACAAACTGGAGTAGGGTGGGTCCTAATCCAATATATTGTTGTTATACTTAGGTGCCGTGGAGTCGCTTTCAATGTATAGTAACCCCATGTGACAAAGTGTTACCGCGATAACGCGGATTGGAGCCCCCTGCCACAATAGCCAATTCTGAGACAGGGGTGAGGTGAGCAGCAAGAGTTTTGTTATATATCGATATATAGGAGACAGAGGGGAATAGATTCCTCCCAAAACCCGGCTACCCCACTGGAGATTGGCCGAAGGCTTTTATAGGCGACTGGATTATGGGTCTTAGAAATTTGTGTTAGTTCTCCCTTGAGATGGTCACATTCCAGATGAGTTAATCTTGTCTTGGGGTTTACCTGGCCACATCTTGGTTTTCTTGTCCCCAGATGGGTGCTTTGTTTGGTTTGTCATTCCTAGATCATTATCACTTGTTTTCCACCCTCCAAGGAGGGACATTGATTAATCTTAAACTTTTTTATAGAGACTGCGACAGGAGAGAAAAACAAAATCATGAGACAATGCGGGGGTTAGCAATGGGGAGTGATAATAGTGAGCCAGACCTATGCAGCCTCTTCCAATCCCCCCTTTTATTGGAAGTTTCTTAATCTTGGGAAACAAGGTGTTGCTTCTTTTCTGACTACTCCCTGCTGGCTGGGTGCGTCGGCTGGGTGAGAAACCTCTCGACTAGGGGCCATAGGTGCGGGGTGAGTTAGAGTGGAAATTGGCTGCATCTTGGTGAATGAGATGACATTCGTCCTCAGAGCTTGAAAAAAGGGCATCCCCATTTACCAGGGTAAAAATTTTTCTAGTCTTGAAAGTATTTGTCATTCTTTTTGTTAATAGTCTCATAAAACAGGGAACACAAAAACAAACTAGAATAATCACTGTTCTTAAGGTTCCTCTTTCAGGCTCTTCTATGGCCCACTTAACTGGACCTACTGTAGTTAGGGTTGAGAGTGTCCCCAGCTTGCAGGGTCAGTGTCCCCTTTGCCTCTAGGGTCGCTGGCACCTTTTCTGTCCAGGTCTCCTGGAAAAATAGAAAGATAGAGGGAAACAAGGACAAAATCATTGTACCGTAAGCTTCTTGAACTTGTACTTCAGGCCCTGAACGGAGTACAGGAATATGGTGGCTCTTTGTTTTCTGCTGCTTTCTCTTCTTCTGGTGGGGCTGCTTTTACTCTCAATTGATGCACCCATGTGGCTACTCTTGCTAATTTCAGAGATGAGTGGGTGGTCAGGAGAACTTCAAAAGGTCCCTCCCACTGAGGGGCCACTTGATCTTCCGGGAGTTGATGCTTCCAGGTTTTCAACAGGACCTGATCTCCGATCTCTGGGGTTGGAACCTGTGGAGCGAGTGTCAGAAGGAAAAGACAACCGAGAAGAAGCATACTGATTAACAGTGTTTATGACAGCTCTCAGAGAACAGACCCAGTCCCTTTTCTCTACTTCGGTCATCACTGAGGTGGGGGAAACTAGACTTTTTCAGGAATCGTCTCCCATATATTAATTTGTAAGGGCTCAATTTGGGCCCGCTTCCAGGGGTTACCCAGATTCTGAGAAGGGCAACGGGGAGAACTTGTATCTAAGTGGAGCTTGTCTCTTCGCAAAGTTCCGTCAAGGACTTTTTCAGAGTATGGTTCATCTTTTCAGTCTTTCCAGTCGATTGTGGTCTCCAGGCTGAGTGTAATTTCCAATTTATATCTGAAACCTTATTGACTTCTTGGGTGACTGTTGCCATGAAAGCTTTCCTGCTGTCACTCTGGACTGAGATTGGAAGATCAAAATGGGTTATGATTTCTTTGAGTAACGCCTTGGTCACCTCTTGGGCTCGTTTTGTTTGACAAAGGAAAGCCTCCACCGACCTTGAGTAGGTGTCCACAAAAACCAGCAGATATTTAAAATTTCCAGGTGTCCGGGCATTATACTACTGCCACCTGAAGAGGATCATTGATTACCTTCAGGAGTTCCAGGATTTCTGGTACATGTTTTATTTCTTTGTTGGCAGATGTCAGAAGTCCCCTTTCTTTCCACAAGGCACTGTGTGAGTGAAGGACCAGATGGGCATATTTATTATCAGTATACACAGTTATGCGTCTTCCTGCTCCTAGTCGCAGGGCCCGCCCAAGGGCTATGAGTTCAGCCTTTTGAGCTGAAGTGCCGGCAGGAAGTGGAGCTGCCTCTAAGACCTCAGTTTGTGTCACCACCGCATATCCTGCCTTGTGGCTTCCTTCATATAGAAAGCTACTGCCATCCGTATACATTTCTATCTCTGGGTCAGTCAAGGGAACATCTGAGAGATCTGGTCTACTAGAATAAACCTCCCTTCCTCAATTATCTCTAGGCAGTCATGTACGGGGGCATCTTCCGAAACAGGAAACAATGTGGTGGGATTAAGGGAGGAGACAGCCTTCAAAACCACGTTTGAGTTGTCTAGCAGGATTGCCTGATATTTTCCCATCCGTCCTGCTGTGAGCCAAAACCCCCCGCTTTGGTTCCAAAAGAGGCAGAACTGTATGTGGTGTGTTTACCGTTACCTTTTGTCCAAGGGTGAATTTCTTGGCTTCCTGTAACAGGTCATATGTTGCAGCCATGGCTCGAAGACAAGGAGGCCATCCCCAGGCCATGTTGTCCATCTGTTTTGAAAAGTAGGCCACCGGTCACCTAGCTGGTCCCAGGGTTTGAGTTAGTAACCCCACAGCAATTCCCTGTCTTAATATCAGTCCATTCAATGGCAAATAGAGGCTGAGACTCAGGTTGTAGAGGAATACAAAAGAAGGCATCTTTCAAGCCCAGTACCGAAAACCAAGCATGTTGACTGGGTATAGTAACCAAGAGGGTATATGGGTTTGGCACAATTGGATGAATGTCCTCTACTATTTGGTTGATTTTCCTTAGGTCTTAAACAGACCGATATTCCTTTGTCCCTGGTTTCA